CTCTGAGAAGATCACCCTGAGATACTATTTAAACCTCAAGGTTTAAAACGATCATATGAGATCACCTTTAAGTAAAATAACAGCTTGGCCCACAAAATGAAGGATATTAACCCAGAGTACACAGCTCCATTAAAAAACTATTTATTGAGACCACAAGGTCAACAATTATTCTAAAAGAAAGAGAAAACTGTATTGATGAGAAAAGGGCCAGGAAAGTTACACCAAGGAGGGTTTGCCCATTGTTTTTTGTTTTGTTTTGTTTTTCATAACAGCAGTGAACCTTCTCATTTTTGAAGGGGAGCAAGGACTGTCCTTCAAGAATTTTGCTGGCAAAAACCCCAATAGCCCTGATCTTTTTGCTCCTCAACTCAAAGAGCATTTGAAAGGAATTTGATTTGAGTCCCTTGAGGATGCCCAAACTGCCATTTGAGCATGTTGTAGATCAAAGAATGTTAAATTTGGGGGGGGAAGAGTTAGAGAGATGGAAACACCGCCTTCAGAAATGTATAGACCTAGAAGGAGGTTATGTCTAGAAACAATAGCTTCACATTTTGGTATTTTTATTTAATAAAGGTGTCTATGATTTCATAGCAGTACTTTTTGACCTACGCTCATATGTATGTATGTTCACATGTGTATATGGAGCCCTTTTGGTGTAATGGGTTACCCACTGGGCTGCTAACCAGAAGGTCAGCAGTTAAACCCACCAGCTGCTCCACAGGAGGACAATGAGGCTTTCTGCTCCAGTGAAGATTTACAGCCTTGGAAACCCTATACAGAGTTGCTATGAGTAGGACACAACTCAGTGGCACACAACAATGACAGCAACACACATACATATAGATCATTCTGTCAGTGCACTCACATACTCACCTGAACCTGCCTGTACGCATATATGACTAGACACCTGCATATGTGACCATACATTCATTTTTGGTTGTTGTTGATGTGTCTAATTCCCTGTAAATTGAGATGGTTTTCATTGTTTTGAGATTTAGTATAGTATTTGTTATTATTATTGCTGTTTTGGGTTTTTTTTTCATATACTCCTTATTACAATGAAATTATTGTACTTCTGCTCCTTTTTTACTTTGATAGCTAATAGAAGCGACTGCTGAGTCTTAGTTAATACCCTTTCAGCATCTCGTCATACAACATGGATTTCTTCCTTAATTTTTTATAAATGTTTTATTGTGAATTATGTGTTAGTTTACATGGGAGAACATTAGTTTTACATTCCTCCTATTGTATATCATTTCATTGCCATGGTTACAATCCCGTCCATGTATCATCAACCAATCAAAGGGTATACCCTGCAAGCCTGCCCACCGGTTGTCAGCACATAGTCCCTCTCCCTCTCTGGGTCTAAAGTCCCCAACTGTTCCATCTCTCCAAGTCATCATCTCTGCCTCCATCTCAGGGATCACTGCTTCTCTGGGTAGGGTCCTGCTCTCTGCTCTTCTCCCTTGTTGGTCCCAGGGACCTCCGCTCCTATACTGCAAAGTTAATCATTCCCCTCCTTACAAAACATCTACCTTTACAGTCCCAACCCTCACAATCAGTCCCGATAACAATTATTCACTATTGTATCACAAGAGACCTATCCGCATTTCCTTTTGTCAGCCCCGCCTAGACAGATTGGATACTACTCAGTGGAGGTTCTCCCTTCCTCCATGCCTTCTGGATCTAGGTCCCCTCTTGAAAGCTTGTAAGTCAGTCACTTCTTGCCTTTGTAGCCCCCCAACTTTGGGTAGCTGGTGTCCAAGTTGCCCATCCGTATCTCCTCTGTGTATGGAGGGGGGTGGGAATGATCCTTGCTGTAAACTCTTGTTCCCTTTTTTGAGCCACTGCATTCATAGGTGTAAGTCAAGTTCATCAAATTGTATCAGAGTACTCTTTTGTTCCTCTTCTTTCTTCTTCTAGTTGAGCTCTGATCATCTGGTCATTGAAGCCAGGTCAAGTGGGTATTATCTGCAAGTGTGGGTATTCTTATACATATGCCCTCTCTTCTTATCAACTGGACACTTCACTCTCCACTCTAGTCCTCGATGGCTATGTCACTGACTTTGGGCCCAAGAGTCCCCAGGTCTTGCCACACTGCTGGCCAACTAGGTCTCCACTCAGGTTCACAGGAGTCTGTTGAGCGTTGTAGGGCTTAGCTCGCAGCTTCATTGCTGTTTTTCCCTCATTTCCCCTTATCAGTGACAAATGTGATCACTAATCAGAGTGTGTATTCCCATTGAGTCTTTGTCTTGGAAGGGGTTTGCTCTGAGGGGACCCGACCACTTGCCTTGATGTCTCCTGGGTGAGCAACTTGCTTGTTCTTATAGTAAGCAGTCGGTCTGCCTATATTGTTTTATAGTTTTTCTGTCAGTCGTTGTTTCAAGAAGTATCTTCTGTTCTTCTAGCTGCTCCAGGCTGGTCTGCCCGTCCTTTCAAGTGGAAATTTCCCACCTCTGAAGATTCTGGATATTGTTCAGGATTCCACCTATAGTCTTATGTAATACAGAGGCTCCACAGGAAGCCTCCTTCACAGGGCACGTTGTAGTCCCATTTTAGGTATCTCAATCAGTTATAGGCAGAAGACGGACTTACAAGCTTTCTAGGTGATATTTCTGACTTTTTTCTCTCCTCCTCCAATGTCTATTTTATAATGGTATGCAAGGCAAACCAAGATTCAAAAGACAGCCAAGCATCTTAACAGTGTTATTTCCCCCCTTTTGCACATTCCAACAATGTCTCAATCCCTGTATCCTAGAGCCCTGTTGTCCCAAGGTTGTGCATACATCATTCTTTACCTCTGTCCCACTTAGCCCATGTTCTCCCATCTACTTTGTTCTTCCATTCCCCTCTCCCTTTTTGTATATTGCCCCCATCCTTAGTACCCAAACTATCATGTGTCTATTCCCTACCTTGTGTTCTACCTTCCCCTCCCTCCCCTTCCCCTCCCCCCACATCCTACTAGCAACCAGCAAAGAATCACACACACACACACACACACACACACACACACACTTTAGTATGGTTTCTTTTTCTTAGTCTTTTACAGTAGTGGTCCTATGCAGTATTTCTCCTTTTGTGACTGACTAATTTCACTCAACATAATGTCCTCAAGGTTCATCCAGGTTATGTGGTGACTTGCAGCTTCCTTGTTATTCTTCAAGGTAGCATAATAGTCCATTGTGTGTATGAACCACAGTTTGTTTATCCATTCTTCAGGTGATGGGCACTTTGGTTGTCTCCATCTCTTTGCTATTGTAAATAGTGTTGCTATATTGTAAATCGTGTGCATATATCTACTCGTGTTATGGCTCGTATTTCTTGTGGGTAAATACCAAGTAGAGGAATTGCTGGATCATAAGGTATTTCTATTTCCAACCTTCTGAGGAAGCGCCATATTGCTTTCCAGAGAGGTTGGACCATTTTGCAGTCCCACCAGTGATGCAGGAGTGTCCCAGTCTCTCCACATCCCCGCCAGAATTTATTGTCCTCTACTTTTTTGATCTTTGCTGTTATTACTGGTATGAGATGATATCTCATTGTTGTTTTCCTTAATTTTTTTAATGATTAAATACTGTTTTCATTATTATAAAATATATGTTACTAAACTCATCATTAGCCATTTTGAGTGGCTCAGTGACATTAAGTACATTCACAATGCTGTGTAACCATCACTACAGTCTATTTCCAGACAACACAAACCCATTATGCATTCCTTCTTGCCCCTTGGTATTGGTTACCACTGATCTACTTTAAAGGAGCTCTGGTAGCGTAGTGGTTATGAATTGGGCTGCGAACAGTCAGCAGTTCAAAACTGCCAGCTGTTCTGCAGGAGAAAGATGAGGCTTTCTGCTCCCATAAAGATTTACAGTCTCAGAAATCCTGTACAGGGTCGCTATGAGTCAGAACCGACTCCACGACACATAACAGCAACAACAATCTACTTTACGTCTCTGCATTTTCCTACTCGAATACATTACATAGGTGGGATCATACAGTGTTTTTCCTTTTGTGGCTGATTTATTTCACACAGATAATGTTTTCAATGTTCATTCGTGTAGTATGCATCAGGACTTCATTTCTTTTTAGGTTGAGTAATAATATTCCACTTCATTATGCACAGCTTTTTGTTTGTCCATTCATCTGTTGCTGAACACTTGGGTTGTTTCCACCTTTTGTTTGTTGTGAGCAGTGTGTCAGTGAATATTGGTGTATATATAGGTTTTGGTTTGAGTAGCTGCTCTCAGTTCTTTTGGGCATACACCTAGGATTGGAATTTCTGGATCCTCCAGTTGTTTTATGTTTAACAGTTGGAAGAAACTTCCAACCTGTTTTCCACAATGGCTGTATCGTTTTACATTTCCATCAGCTATATGTGAGCATTCCAGTTTCGCCTGTTGTTAGTGGTTAGAGGGGTCTGTGCGGGCAGGTCTTGAAGTGTGAAGTCAGAGGCAGTGGACTGGATGGGTGGTTGCACAGGGAAGAGAGGGCAGTGTGATTGAGGGAGGATACAAGATGAGGCCACAGCCACAGATGAGGATACATGATGTGCATCCTCACAGGTCAGTTCATACCTTGTCTTACCACTATACCCTCCTGTCAGGAGTCTGAGTTCAGGCATTGTTCTTACAGCAGACCTAGCATGGCCTGTTTGTGCGGACCATTGGCTCTGTGCCTACCTTAGAAGATAGGCTTTGTTCCAGCTGTCTCCCTTGTGGCTCTGGGTAGGACAGACTACTCCTGGTCAGTCCTCTCCCTGCATAATGACCTGGCCCTGACCTTTTCCTCCCTCATGATCTGTGACTCACATTGTTGTGTTTAATAAATACTATGTTTGTTTAAGCTGATACTGACTGTATCACAAATAAAACATGATTCATTTCCCCTTTGTCTTCCTGTGGACATGTTTCTTTTCAGAAAAGTGTCCTTGGCTGTATCAAAATATTCTCCACAGTGATGATGAGCATGTCCTGACTGGTGTATAACCTTTGTTTCCTCAGGAGTGGACCTCATCGCTACCTTCTACGGCTGCCTGTACTGCGGCTGTGTGCCCGTTACCGTGCGACCCCCACACCCCCAGAACCTGGCTACCACACTGCCTACCGTCAAGATGATTGTGGAGGTGTGCAGTACACGGCAGGACGTGGCTGTCCTTCAGCGGAACACGTGGGAGAGGGGAGGGCAAGGTGGCCTCCTTCCTGCCCCAATGGTGTGGTTTCACTTGACCTGACACTGTTGTACTGTTTGCAGGTCAGCAAGTCTGCATGTGTCCTCACAACCCAGGCCATCATGCGGCTGCTCAAGTCCAAGGAGGCTGCTGCCGCTGTGGACGTTAAGACCTGGCCAACCATTTTAGACACAGGTACAAGCGACCTGCACTTGCCAGAACAGATCCTTTTTCTTTTCTGTTATGAGGATTGCTCTTTTGGCAGTCAACAGCAGGAAGTGGGCTTCAGTGACTGGAGCCTTCCCTGAGCGCTGTGGCCTTATGGTAGCATTTAGTTGAGTGAGAGCCTCATGATGGCAGGTTCTCTCATTGTCTCTGCCCAGCCATCATGCCCTGTCTGCCCCTAAGCCCACACCATCAGTGCTGTTGTGGTGTGAATCCCAGCTCTGCTCCTCTGTTGCCCCTTGGGTGAATTGGCTGGGGTCTGTGGCTTCCTGCTGCTCTCGGAGACATAGTTCCTGCGGTGCCTCCAGTTTCATTACCTGTCGGTAGTAAATGCTGCTGCATTCCTCCTGTCTTGAATCTGATTCCTCTGATTATAGTCAGCTTGGTGAAGGGTGGCTCATTGTGGGTGGAGAACACCCTGCCCCTTGCCCCTTGAGGCACCCAAGCCAGCATTACTCCCTATCCATCCTGTACATGGCTATGTTTTTTGAGCACCTGTCCAGCAAGTAAACAGGCTATTCCTCCCACTGTGCCCAGCAAGCAGTATCCTATCAGCCAAGACTAGGTTCTCATGCTGCCTATAGGCACAGACTTGTGTTGGGACAGCTGTTATGGGACAGTGTGTGGCCATTTGGCCACCTCTATGCATTAGATGACACTTGGCTCCACCAAGCCTTGGTGCCTTCATCTGTACACAGGGCATCTACAGCCTGTGACTCATACAAGAACAATACCCTTATGAGAAGCTACCTTCGTAACCCAGTCAGTGTCAGCCTTTCTGTGGTTGGGGCTCCTGCGGCCACCCATGACTCTGCCATGAGCTCTGGGAACTTTGGTGTTTCCCTCACTTTCTCTCTCAGAAATGAAAGCACTCTTGCGTAGCCCCACTAGCTTGTATCCTCCCTACCCTTACTGTCCTCCCATATCAGTCACAGTGAGCCCATTGTGGTCTTGGTGTGCACAGGCATGTTTTATCTCCTGCCTGTGAAGGCCTAGAGGTTTTATGTTGTCAGAATATGCCCCATAACACACATCCTGGTGCTCCCTCTTATTAGATGACATACCGAAAAAGAAGGTTGCCAGCATCTTCAGGCCCCCATCCCCAGACGTGCTTGCCTACTTGGACTTCAGTGTGTCTACCACAGGAATCTTAGCAGGTGTGAAGGTGAGTTTCTCCAACTGTGCTTGCTGGGAAGTAGAACACCAGCGCTGCTGCTTAAAGTTTGTGTTAAACACCAGGAGGCCCAGCGTGTGGTGAGCCTGACAGTAACACATATTCTGAGTCTTGTATTAATGTCTAAAGTTCCTAATATAAGGCTCTGACCTTGAGGAGAGGGTGGCTTGGATGAGGCCCTTTCCTTACTCAGCCAAGTGCTCAGCTAAAATTCCTTTATTACTCTGAAGTTTGATTTTATAGATTTTTGCCCTGCTTTGTTTTGGTTGTTAAGGACTGTCGAGTCAATACCGACTCATAATGACCTTCTGCACGATAGTATAAACCACTACTGCCTGGTCCTGTACCAGTCTCACAGTCGTTGCTACACTTCAGCCCCTTGCTACTGCCTCTGTGTCAATCCAACCCAATGTGGGGTCTTCCTCTTTTTTGCTGACCCCCATTTTGCCAAGCATTATGTCCTTCTCTAGGTACTGTTCTCTCCTGATAATATGTCCAGAGTATAAGAGACAAAGTTTGGCCATCTTGGCTTCTAAGGAGCATTCTTCCAACACAGATTTGTTCTTCTGGCAGTCCGTGGTACTTTTAGTATTCTCCTCCAACACCATAACTCAAATGCATCCGTTCTTCCAAGGTCTTCCTTATTCATTGCCCAACTTTCACATGCATATAAGGCATGCTCAGGTTATTGATACTGATTCTTAATTATATGGAGATTGGAGCAATTACCAAAACCACATCTAGGGGATTTCAACTTCTGGCGCTTCCCTGCCCAGGCAGCTCAGGTAGGGCAGTCTCGGGAAAAAGGGGCGGAATTGCACATAAGAAACCTCTGTCTAGCAGACAGACAGCCTTTGAACAAACATAAGATATTATATTTCAACATTCTGAACTCGTTTTTTTTAAAAGGTCAAATTGCTGAGGAATTACAGGCATTTTAAGCCTTTGCCTGCCTGCATGCGGCTCCCGCTTCCGCGCCCGCACCGGCAAGTGCCTCTGCCCCCTGCAGACCTTGAAATGCAGGGCTAGAGCAACCCCACTTAGAAGGCTGTATTTCCAGAGAAAAGGAAGCATAAACTAACAAAGCCGAACAAATAGAGAGGGATATCGGCGCGGATATCAGGAAATTCGGGGTACCCATGGTACAGAGAGACTGAGAGAGGCATTTTTTACGTCATCAAGTACGGACACTACCTCCCTGCAGCCACGACCCCCAGCCCTTTACTGCCCCGGCCTAGACCAGCCCTCTGCCAAGCCACCGAGGCTCAGGAATGCCCAAGGCACAGGCCCGCCCACTGAGGCCAAGGCCCCCTCAAGATCCAGACACTCCCACTAAGGCCAAGGCCTGCCCTGAGGCCCAACCCGCCCACAGACTGGTCACAAAGGCCCAGGCCCAACCAAGGCCCAACCTGCCGCGTAGCCCGGTCGCCGAGGCCCAGGGCCCCTGAGGCCCAACCCACTCTCAGCCCGGTCCCCGAGGCACAGGCCCCCCGAGGCCCAATCCGCCCGCTGAGGCCCAAGCTGCCCGATGCCCAGCTGCTGACACCCAGGCCACCTGAGGCCCAAACACCCGCCCGAGGCCCAACCCTCCTGCAGTCTGGTCGCTGATGACCAGGCCCCCAGAGGCCCAAACCGCCTACCCTAGGCTCAACCCACCCGCCTGAGGCCCCCTGCCGCCGAGGCCCAGGGCCAACTGAGGCCCAAAAAAGTTACTCTGAGTTAAGCAATAAGGAGAGTGAAAAGGGAAGACCACATCCTGATCACATCTTCCTGGAGGTAATCAGAAAACATAAAAAATTACCAAAA